ACAATACAACTGTCTTGACGTTTGTATTGAATATTGTCACTTTGGTGTTGGTTGATATCTGTCTTGAGTTTCAGATGTTGTTCAACTGTAGAAATATACGCCGTTGCTTTCCCGATTCGCGCCCTCACATACGCAGTAGATCCACTTCAGTTAGCAGGTTGGGAAAGAACAGAAAACTATCTTACCTCTTTTCTCACTAACAGAATATCGTAACATCGATGAGATAAACATCTTTTTTAGGAATCATAACGTTCATTGCTCAAAGTTATTTCACCATAGAATACTACTGACTTAGCAGGACCGATCATCTTGGAGTGATCAATGAAATTATGCCCAGTTCTGAGTAGTGATAGAATTTTATCGACCACTTTGTAGTGTGTCCATTAGGCTGAATGGCACGTAACTATAATCTATTTTAATACTACACGTCCAAGACTAATCAGCTGAAAGTTCTGAACTATGGTTTCATGCTATTTAGTACTCATCAAATATTGTACCAAATTCTCTCCACAAAAACAGATACCTTCAATGAAAGTCGAATCTAAGTCCCAGTATCTATCATTATGAGAGAATTCACTGGCAAGCTAATCCATTGTGTCGATCAAATGATTGAAAAGTGATTATCTGACAGTGTTCAGAGTGCGTCTGTAACAACGAGTGAGTTTCATGAGTGAAAACAAGAAGAAAATGTTACTGAAAATATAAAAAAGGCGTTTCTTTTCAATTCATTCTTCTTGTCTATTATGAATAAAAGCTGCGGACATCTAGATTAGGATTGTTTGTCATTAAAATATCGAGTACAAAATATTAACGATTTCATTTTATTACCGATTACATGGAATTTTAAAAATCATCGTTATACATTTAAAAGAATATTGGTTGGTTTCTGTGTGTTTTTGAGTGACGAAAAAGAAATTAAGGAACAATTCTAATTGGTCAAAATAATAATGATAATAACCAGAGGTTAGGTGTTCACATGGCAAAGACCGAAGGTCCTGGGTTCGAATCCTGCGAGGTGCAGGAGTCATGGATGCTCATTGCCCTTTGATGAGTTACATGCCAAGACGAAACGGCCGTCTAGTGCTTCCTCCACGTTTCTACGGGTGATCTAACTTTGATCGATTCTTGATTTCAATAAATAACCATATACTTGATTGATTGGTTTATCAATGATTCGACGATTGGTTCCTGTTACTCAAAAGTCTTTCATAATTTATTAAGTGTAAAAATAAGAGTGGTAATTACACTTTTTTGATGGTCACAATCCGTCTTTATATTTTTGAAATGTTTTACTGATTAACAGATGCTTAAATGAGAGACTTTTTTAAATGTTCAATGAAATGTATAGTTTAGATCAAAAATCAATTATTATGAGAGGCAAGGTTTGTGAATATTATTCAACATGAAAAATAAATGTTTACACTACATATTGACTTTAGTTAAATAACCAATGCCAATCATATCATACGGGATAGTCGCTTTACCTTAGCATGGTACTTCCAATTAGTATGTTATACAAGGTTAGTCCTTATATCCTCCATGATAGTTGGTAAGCACGTTAACTTCATAGCACTAGGTTGACATTAAATTACAGAGATCACATTTAAGGTTAAGCTTGTACATATCTAACGCATATTATACTTTAACTAAATACATGTCCGATGCTATCAATTCTTAACTGTCATTTAGCTAAAGTCCAGTAGTTATAAAGGCTTTCTAGAAATTTCCGATTTCACTTGATGCGGGGATTAGATTGTTTGTTAATGAGAAGTTCTAGATTAGATGGATTAAACTACGAAAACGTGCACGGAGGACAGCTGATAGACTCGTTCGAGAGGAAGACCAGTGTCAGGCAAGGTTGCTTACTCTCACCCTTTCTCTTTCTCCTGGTGATCGACTGTATGATGGAAATGTCAACATCTGGAAGGAAGCACAAGATACAGTGGACACCTAAGATTTAGCTAGATGATCTGGCTCTTCTATCACACACGTAACAACAAATACAGGAGAAGATGACCAGTGTAGCATCAGCCTCCGCATCAGCAGAAGCAGAAGGGGAAAGCATTGTTCGCCGATACAACACTACATGCTCTAACTAAATCACTCTTAATGGAGATGCATTGGAGGACGTTAAAACCTTTACATATTTAGGCAGCACGATTGATCAGAAAGGTAGATCTGATGCAGATGTTAAGGCGCGGATCAGCAAAGCAATCGCTGTATTTCTACTACTGAACATCATCTAGAACTCAAAACAACTATCAACAAACAGCAAAGTCACAATTTTTAATACAAACGATAAGACAGTTCTACAGCATGGGACGGAAAGTTGGAAAAATTTCCAAGGCTACCATCCACAAGATACGAGTATTTATTAACAGTTGTCTACGCAAAATACTTCGAGTCCGCTGATCAGACATCGTTAGCAACAACTTAATGTATTGGAAGAACAAACCAGATTACAGTGTAGGAGGAAATCAGAAAGAAGCGGTGGAAATGGATTGCACATACAACGCTGAAAACACTCAGCTGTGTCACAAGATGAGCATTCACTTGGAACCCTCAAGGTTAAAGTAAAAGAGGTAGGCCAAGGAACACATAACGTCGAGAAATGGAGACAGACATGAGAAGAATAAACAAAAATTGGACAGAAGTAGAAAAGGAAACCCGGGGTAGAGTTGGTTGAAGACTACTGGTCGGTGGCCTATGCTCGGTTGGGGGTAAAAGGCGTAAGTAAGTTCCAGATATTCATATCTCAATGCTGATATATATACTTGAGCTCGAACTCTGTATCTTTCCTCATAGAAACATTTCCATTAAGTTAACTGATTCTAGAAAACAGTTAACTTTTTAAATGGGTGATGTCACAGAAAGGTGAGTAGTTAAAACTTACTATATATTGCTAAATCCCATTGTCCTTCAACAGAAAAGAAGACCTTGCCATCCGTCCAACCTAAACCAACCTTCTGAGCTACCATGTCCAATTCTATTCATAGTATTATCTTACATAATAAATCAACAAATGTTACATCTTTTTACACTAATTAACGCACAAATGCAGCGGTATTTCCAATTAAATTCGTTTGACCGGATTGTTACAACATCAACCTGGTCAGACCTGTTAAGTTTTTATTGATTAAACTAAATACTTTTGTTTTTTTTAGATTTCTGTTAATTTAATTTGTCCACCTAATCTCTGAAATACAAAGCTTCAACTAAGTCATGAAACATAAAGAAAAAGTTTCTATTGTCTTACTCATTGGGCTATTACAAATATATTATTTTTCAATTAGATTTATGGAGAATAGTGTTTTTACACATTTGAAATCATCAATCAATCATTTTCAGACCAGCATTAGAAACATGGAAGTACTTGATGGCCGTTTCGTCTTCGTATGGGACTCATCAGTAACAGTGCGCATCCACAACTCATGAACATCGCAGGGTTCGAACCTAGGACCTTTGGTTTTGCGCGTGAATGCCCAACCTCTGGACCATTGGGCGGGCATCCAAAAGTGTTGTTGTCTAACTCTGATCAATCTAGGGGCTTAGCGCGACCCCACCCATTTGTCTTCAATAGTTACTGCTCACAACTGACATGGTTGAACTACACTGGTCACAACTTTTCACTAGACCTCTGAGTATTTCCTCATGAAGCTAGTCACTAGTGAGCACATTGTATGAATTTTTAGAATCTTGTGAGTATCAGGAGTCGTGAATGTTCACTGCTGATGAGTCTCATACCAGGACAAAATGGTAGTCCAGTGCTTCCAGGTTTCTCTTGGTGACTTAACAATGAGTGATTGACGATTTTGATGTGTAAAAATATGTTATTTTATAACTTTATTTCACTGTGAATCTTCACAGTTGGAGTTAGTATTATGAATGTTTAGTTATTTTGGCATATATATGAACCAAGTCACAAACATTATTCCTCAGATAGATGATGACTAGCAGTGGCATCCAAGATGCGTGTTTCGTTTTGTTTATGACTTGTCAGCCAGATGTATTTGCATCCTAGAGCTAATGTTTACTCTGGGACTGGAACTTGGCACAGCCTGCCAAAGTAACTGATCCATTGCAGTCTTATTCATCAACAAAATTTAAATAACTGATCAAAATGAATTAAACTTCACTATACTGCATAAATCAGTGACTATTTGGACTCAGTAGCTGAAATTCGATAACGAGATGGCGTTTGAAGTGAACAATACTGTGGGTTTGAATCCTGACAATTTCTCAACTAGGACGAAACATATGCGTGTCTTGTTATCAACTATTAGCCACCACAGCCATTCGTTAGTTCATGTAGTTGTCAATGAGCAAATAGATTGTAATGTGTCTATCATACTCACATTGAAAACCAAAAAAAAAAATATCTACAAGAAACAACACTTGAACTAAGTCAACACTATCCATAACAATTCTAAATAACCTATTTCTTTCACTACTCCTCTCTCTTCCCCTCTTGCACACACACGAATACACACACACACACTGACAAACTATTCCACTGTTGTTCACGATTTCAATAATCTATTCCAATGAATTATTTCAATCTATAAGTTTTCATCTGAATAAATAAAAATGCAACAACAACATCTCTTGATTAATTTCATAACTAACTGACTCAATAGAGAGAAAAAAAAACATGTCGACACACCTACGCATATTGATATAAAAATTGATAGGAATGGATATCAAAATGTGTTGGCCATGTTTGGTGTTGTTCATACAACTTGGTCTACATCATAACTATAACATTTTTCAGAGGACAAATTAAAAACAAACTTATGGCTCATTCGTTTATTCAATCACTGATCGACTGTTGTTTGTTTGGGTTGATGGTAGCGGGCGGGGGGCGGATGGGGTGGTCGTGCTGTGGTGTTACGGTGATGACGATGACAGTAGTCGTGTTTCTTCCCTTGTAGATCTAAACACATTGAAATCCTTCTTCTCTACACCACCCGACAACCACCTAACTAGATTTAAATACACACATATATATATATATATATATATATATATTTATCCACCTATTACTCTCAAATATTTTACAAAATTTATCCGTTTATTCAATTGTGAACAAATAATCTTTGACAAAAAACAAACGATTGTAAGTGTTATTTACGTAAGTTATTTGTACTTATGTTACTTAATTTTGCCTGGCTAGCTTTTTTTTAAATGAGATGTAATGTGGTCACTAACCCCTATGCCAAATCCTCCTTCTTTTATTCGGGCTTGGGATCGTTAGCAACCCCATAGGGGGTCCTAGGTGGAGTGATTTGTACTGATGTTAACCGAAGTTTAATGTACATGAAATTAGATATTATGATAGAATGATAATTTGTCTAAACTTTTATTATGAAAGATAAGTGGCAGTCAATTCACCAAATTAGAGTTAGATAATAATAATGATAGTAGTCTAAATAGTTTTTGTTTTAATTTCTGAGTTGAATTAAACAAAAATTGAACTTTTAAAAAAATTACCATCATGACGTATTGATATTTGAAAAAGATTCTCTGTGTGATAATGAATTCAGAGTATGATAAAACAAATTATTGTTTTATTATATCCTAATCTTTCATGATTTCTTAGATAATTGTAATCGAAGTTTAAAATTAAATGTAACATTTAATTCTGGCGCCCATTTTTTTGTTTTAAATAATAAAATAAACATGGTGTATTTGTGCTGAATTCGGATAATATAGTCAGTAAAAACTCACCACTGAAACAAATAAATAGTAAGCGATATTTTACGAAGTTTGGTCATCCAATCACATTGAACCTTGAAAATTTAAACATTCAATTATTTTAAAATGTTAATGATAATATGACATTTCTCTAATTTAAAAATAACACGATTTTATAGAATTTAAACTGTACTAGTAACATAAACTCTATCTAACTTTGATAGAACACTATGAGAAAACGTAGATGTTCTTAAAAATGTTGTGATGTATTTGCGCTATACATATTTCGAACAATGTGTTCACACATGTATACACATATCAAGGTCAACTTAATGCGCAATTTTATGGCTTAGAGTAATGTGACAATCGCCTACCTTTTCTCATTCTTTCTATATTGGCGTGACCAATGCAAGTTCAACCGTGTCGGGTGGAGGCATTAACTACCGATAACAATCGGTGGGGTTACGTAAAATCGTTAGGTTGAACAGAGTTAGATATTGACACTGTTAAATGCCAGCTCAGTGGTCTAGAGGTTGGTCATCCTTGCGCAAGACCGGAGGTTCTGAGTTCAAGTCATGTGAGGTGAAGGAATTTTGTGATGTACACTGTTGATGAGTCCCATGCTGGAACGAAACGGCCGGCGAGTTCTTCCAGGATTCTAATGGTGGTCTGGCAATGACTGACTGATGAAATCAATGTGTAAAAACACTGATCTACATAACTCTAATCGAAAAAAAGGTTATTTAACTTGATTTTCTCTCTTCTTCATTTTTTTACAATTATCTCCTTACGTCTGTTTGAATTTTTATTGAATTGACCACGTTATATGAATTTTCATATAAAATGATTTGACAATTTTAAATGTGACCAGATTGTTTGGTGATGTATGGCGCGTTATTTTGAGCCTTTTTAAATTAATACGATAATCCTCAACTTATATTATAACTGTAGAGTTCGATGATGCCGGCCCAGTGGTTCGATGGTTAGGCATCCGCGCACAATACCGAAGCTCTCGGGTTCGAGTCCTGCGAGGTGCAGGAGTCGTGGATGCGCACTACTGATGAGTCCCATACCAGGACGAAATGGCCGTCCAGTGTTTCTTCCAGGTTTCTATCAGTAATCTAACAATGATTGATTGATGATTACAAATGTGTACAAACACAAAGCTCCAAAACTCTGCCTGAAGATAAAATTATTGCAAAACAATTTTGTCTTAGAATTGACGATATTTTATATGAATGAAACATTCTTTTTATCAAGTTATTTCAGTGTGGTTAATTTAAATTCTTTTTAAGAAACTCTATACCTGACTTATTATTGAAATCACGAATCAATCATGGATAGATCATCAGTAGAAACCCACAAACACTAGAAAGCTGTTTTGTCCTTGAATGGGACTCATCAGCAGTGCTCATGCACGACACCCGTTACTCGCAGTAATCGAACTGAAGACTTTCGGTGTTGTGAGCAAACGCTTAGAAACCTGTGAGAAACACTAGAAGGCCGTTTTTTCCTGGTATGGGACTACTTATCAATGGCAGTGTGCATCACTAGAACTCCGAGACTTTCCTCCCGAAACTAGTCACTAGTGAGCACATTTTTTTTATTTCGGATTGTAGTTTTATCCAGTACTACCAGGTTTCTAATGGAGGTCTAACAATGATTCTTTCATGATTTCGATGTAAAACATTGTTCTCCATGATACTCTAATACAAAATTAATAACATTAGCAATCGTTCATTTATTCGATCATATCAAATTAACGTAAACATCATGTGTACTTCTGTTGGGGACGTTAGATCCCCAGAACTCGCTCGATGCATGTCTTAATTTTGGATTTGGTTCATGGGCTAATAAGTTGACCTTGAGATCACATTACCCCCCAGGAAAATCTCTGGTTGTGATTGGTTACTGCGCTATTTTAGTGTGCTATTTTTTTCTATGATGTATAAATAAACGAGATTCGTGTGCTCGCATTCATTGTGCTTGCTGGGTGCTTGTAGAATATACTTCTTACGCTATCTCAAGACTTCTCTTTAGCCATTTCAAGTCAACGGATCAAGGTGGCCTACCTGGAAGCTGGTTCATTGTCTAGTTCTAGTTTATCGTCTAAGGTGAACCCATCATTGTTTCAAGCATACTTAGTGACGAACCTAACAATCTCCATCGTATTTTGATTTTATCTAATCATTTGCCATTGCATATTTCATCATTATTTACATAGTTTATATCAATGGTTCTCAGTTAAAATTTTTTATCAATACACTTGATATTATTCTTCTACGTTATACACGTAATTGTTATTGAAACCAATCAGTCTTAGGCAACATAGAGTTTGGCACATATCCGACAGTTTAAGTTACCATATTATACGATTACAGTGAGATAAAAAGTATATTAAATAAAGACAATTTCTACATCTATCAAAATTGTACCATTTGAAACCATGAATCGATCAATGTTAGACCACCATTAGAAACCTGGAAGCATAGGACGGCCGTTTCGTCCTGGTATGGGACTCCTCAGCAGTGACTAGCTTCGTGAGGGATCTCCGAGTTCTAGTGAGAAGTCGTGACTGGTGGAGTTCGACCTGTTCGGGTGTAGAAAGTAACTACCGAAGACTGTGTATGAGGTGTCGCGACTCCGTGAATTGATCAAGTTAGACAATAACACCGTCAGATACCGGCTCAGTGGTGTGATGGCAAGGCGTTCGCCTACAATACCGAAGTTCCTGGGTTCAAATCCTGCGGGGTGCAGGAGTCGTGGGTGCGCATTGCTAAGGAGTCCCATACCAGGACGAAACGGCCGTCCAGTGCTTCTTCCAGGTTTCTAATGGTGGTCTAACGTTGATCGATTCATGGTTTCAAATAAAACTTAACAATCTTCACAACAACCCCGTAATGGAAAATGTAACAATTCCAGAAATAGAAAAAAAAGATTCGATATTGAAAATATAATAAGAAAGAGTCTAGGAGATTTTGAGACAAAATGAAGTCAATGCACCTGCGCCAGTATGAATGTTTTTCAACCATGTACGATAATCATACAAATACCAACTGAGTAGTTTAAAGCCCTCATTATCCAATCTAGACGTAAACAAACTCAATAACTTTAAATCTTTTCATAAATGTATATAATGTTTATTTTCTGATGAAAATATGAAAGATTTGTCAAATTCAGTTGGTGCTTCTATGCTTTACTTATCAAGTGATTTGTTCTATTAATAAAAGTAAATTTGTTTAAATCAAAGTATGATTTTTTTTCTATCGTAAAACGTTTCTTCAAGGGAATAATAATTCATTTTTCTAATTAGTATACTTATCCTACATGTCAAGTGTTTAGATTTACAATCTGTATTCATATATCATGATCACGGTCACATATTACTATGTTTTAAATAAGTAATAACTTTTCCTTACTCTCAATAGTTAATTTCAAACGAATTCTAACATTCTAAGAATTTAGATTCAAGTAAATTTCAATAGTACATAGAATATTTATTGTTTTACAGAGATGAAATATTCATTACGCATTAAATAAACATTTTAGTTAGAAATATGAACTTACAAATAGATAGCTCTGCCGAACACACACACTGACATACAAGAATTCAGTCATTAGTACTTAAGTGTAGTTTGCATTAACCATGAAAGTGTTCATTGCTTAAGTTTCAAGTAAACTTGAATACAGCAAGAACAATTAACATCACAGAATATGTTATTTGATAACATTAGTAAAATCCTCATCAGAGAAGATTAACAAAAAAAGCAATGAGGATTATGAGAGAATATTACATAGAATGAGTCATGGATGAGTCATTTTTAGACTATCATTAGAAACCTACAAGCACTAGTCGGTCGTTTCGTCTTGGTATGGGATTCATCAATAGTGCGTATTTACGACTTTCGTTACTTGCAGGAATCAAAAATTCCTACTTGCATGCGAACGCCTAACATGTGGACCACTGAGCTGGCATCCAACAGTGTCATTATTATTATAGCATAAACAATTAAGACCAATTAAAAAAAATGGTTCGTCTTGTAATTCTTAAAACAAAAATGACTGATTGTAAATCAAATAATTGGAGTCGCAGAACGAGAAATTACGTAACAAACACTTGTAAATAAGATAACTATAGCAAAGCGAGATTATTACCTGATTCGTTTTCGAAAGCGTAAGCTTAACTTAAGTCTTCTGATAACAATGACCTTTGTGAACCATAGTAAATCCGACATCCTTTGTTTATTAACTATCTTGATGAACTTCAGGACACAGCAACATCATGACTACTGTCAAGTGAATGCTGTGCAGTTGTACTTCTGAAGACTTGTTGTTCACTTAGTCTAAGCTTCAATGGAATGTACGCTGCTGGTAGGTACATGTAAAGTGATAGTTACAGTTAGAGGTAACACATAGCGGGAT